AGATTTTGTATTCTTTTCTTTAGTTTGTTCTAACTGAGCCTTTCCACCTTTTAACTGCTTACAAATTTTCCATAAGGCTGAGATGAGCGAGCAGCTCTAAACACAGACGATTTGTGTCTGCAGATTGGTGGGGAATTGATCTGCTGTTTTTTTAAAACTTATTATTTTATGCTTTGTGCTGCAAAATTGTCACATCAGGGATTCATGTTGGAACAGAAGAGCTGCCTTCATAATTTGAAATCAAAGCTCGAAGCAGCGGCAGAGAAACAGCGACAATGAAATTGAAGTCACAACAGATCAATTTCTGAAAAACCTGGATTTATCTTTTTTATTCAATCTCACCTAATTAATCAGTCCGCTCTTATTATTTTTAGGTCGTTTCTATGCATTGGCCTAGTTTGTTAGTGCGGGCGAAACAGAAACAAAATGGAAGGACAAACTGAAACCACTGACCAGGTATTGGTTTCATCGTTTCTAAAACAGTCCCACCGTAAATGGTTTTGTTTCAGAGTTTTTGTGTTGCCGCCGAGCCAAATCTGTGGTCGTGCGTAAAACGGACCCCGAACTTTTTAATCTGCGTCGTCCTGCATTTCCGTTCTTTTCCCGCTCTTTTGCGTCGTCTTCGCCGGCCTCAAATCTGCAACCACATTGTGCTCCATTGTTCTCTTTCATTGCTCATTCATTTCCTCATTGTCTTCCTTCACTCCCACGCAGCGTTCAAGTCAATACGCTCTCGGTTCTGCCCGTTTCCTTGCCAGCCTGTTCTCCCCTCCATCTGCCTGCCAGCCTGTTTGTGCTTCCTCTCTGCTCAACGTAAACAACAGTTGGTTTGCCCGCACTCCATCCCTGTTGCTCATCCCCGGCAGATTGTTGTGTTTGTCATACAAACAGTCGCTGAAAGCTGCTCTTTTTTTTCTTTTTTCTTTTAGAATGAGAGCCAAAAGTCATAGAATACATTAAATCAAGAGCCCATTAATGATAATGGGAAGGCACCTTCGAAAAAGAACAAAGGCTAAAATTGTACATCTTAACGGCAAATTAATAGGTTTATTTTTTTGTTGGTTTTTTTTTTGTCAAAATGAAGAACTTTAAAAAAAGAAAAGAAGAAGTTCCTTGAAGAAAAATCTATTGCAAGGCTTTTTGCTAAAGCCACTTACACACAAAGCACACTTTGATGGTCCAAGAGCACACAACTCAGATCAATACTTAGCTTTGAGAGTGACAGAGTGAGTAAGTTTCTACACCTTGACGTTCAGAAAGGACAGAGTAAAGAGATGGTAAAATATTCTCCTGGTAGCTGGTATGATCCCATAACCTGTGATAGCAAAATAAAGTGCTTTTGCACACAAAATACTTAAACCACGGATCTCAAATTGTGGTACGTATGTTTCTTTTGGTCATACTCTGAAGGAAATCCAGTGTGAGCATTTAGCGGGAAGCTAGCACGAGGCAGCCAACATGACGACGCAACTTCAGCTCACTTTAGATTTTATTAACTATATGACACATTGCGTTGCCAAGGCCATGACTCACACACTCATCCAAGTCAATAAACGAAAGTTTTTCCACCACTTCCATGTACGCTTGGGAAGCGATTGGGAACAGCGTCGACTCATTAAAAGGTAGGGCACTAAAAATCTGGGAGCACATAAACTGATACAGACCGCTTGGAGATTCCGTCACCCTGATGCACAAAACAGCAAAGCAGAAACGGCTCCAAGCTTAAAGAAGCACACAGAAATCAACCAGCTACCGGACACAGACACGGATGCACAGGGAGCCCTTCTTATCCGGAAAAACTTCAATATGGAAGTTTACAGGCCTCTCTGTTCTTTACGCTCAGTGAACTGAAGTTCACCGGATTTACTGCAAATAGTTCCACAGAGGGTAGAACTCACTGTTGAAAGTCGCATAGCAAAAGAGGGAACTATAAGGCAGCATTAAAAAGAACAAAAGGTAGTAAAACCTCACAGAAGGAGAGATGCAATACAAGCAAAAGTCAAACAGTCGAAGGACGGAAGGACAGAAAAATGGGAGGCGAAACGATGGTGACGACGAGGGAAAGTCGTAACAATAGCACAGGAGAGAAAGGACGGCAAGAGGGAGCCGGGACAAAGAGGACATGATGGAAAATTTAGGCAATATAGGTCAGCTCATTGGAATACTGAAGACGAATTGTAGACGCCGCAGGAATCCAAATAGTCTACAGCAAATAATTGTCTAATAGGTTGTTTGGATTCCTGCGCTGTCCATAATTGGTCTCCAGTGTAGCCTTCTGATTCACCAGTCTGGGTTTTCAGGTCGAAATATTTCTCTGCAAAAATGCAAGGTTTGCTTTGAAATGCCCATCGGTAGCGGCATGTGGAATCTGTAGTATTTTCTGAGGCGGTGTTTGTCATTGAAAGGTTTAAGTAAGAGTAGACGTAAAATACAAATGTTGCATTTGCTGCGCTGAGTAAAAAGTATGCGTGTAAAACGACTGTCCCACAAAGCGGAGTCCTACACAGCAAAGGACAACCATATTAGCAGAGACAGAGAAAAACAAAAAAGTATTTTGATGTATGTAGGGTTCTTCCAGAGTGTTGCAGTCTGCTGAAAATGACTGTGTATGAATATGAGACACATAAAGTCGCTAAGGGATCAGGCAGCTTCATGGATTTTTCACAGAGAGAAAAAAAAACAGAATGCCACCAATGGCGTGAAAACTTTCCCTGGTGATTTTTTTATATACAATATATATTGAGATTTGTTTTTAAAAAAAGAAGGAAAAAGCTCATCTACCAACTTTTTAACAGGTAACTTCAAAGTTTTTGGGGACATTTTTGAGCCATTTTGGTGTTTCTTAAGGACAGAAATATCCATAATAATAATTTTTAAAAATACAGAAATCAATAATACTTTCTTTCCATTTTATTATTGCTTTTTAAGTACAGCTGACATCCGATTGAAGAAATCAGCTACCTAATCAGGAGGCACATAAAGTTCATTTCCTTAGTGTTCAAGTAGAATTTGAATTAGTTTTGAGCATTTTTGTTTTGCTGCAAAACATTATTTGCAGAAAGCCCCACACTAAAACATATTACCTTTGTTTTTTTTTTAACAAAATTTGAGAAAATGGCAACATTTACAGTTTCTGTTGACACAAAGTTATAAAAAACACCTTATTAAATCGTAAAACTCTATAATTTGTATTTGAAACAAAAAGAAGAGGTTTTGCCTATGGTTAAATATGAACAATACAAAAAGTAATCCTACTGGTGTTTTTTATAGAAGAAGAAAAATATTTCATCTTCTACGTCAGCAATCAAAATCCTACTTCTGAATGTAAAAATGGCTGCTTGTTTATAGGCGACGCAGAACCACGTTTTTTTTTTTTTAACACTCTTAATGACAAACAGCATTTCAAAAATTGCTAGTCGCGATCGACTTTGTCGACTTTGTCTTTGACAACTATCTAAATCGGTTTGATGTACTGAGACACCGGAGCGTGACGAACTTGCAAAAAAGAGGAAATCTGGAAGAAGGAAAACACTTTCATGCTACTGTATGCCAAAAAAAACAACAAAAAAGCCTTTGCTGACTCCTGTTGTAGCAAGACAAAATCAAAAGGCACCGTTGATCACGATCTCAATACAAATGAACCACCTCAGGAACATTTGCAGACTGCAAATTCACTCTGAGGCAAATAATCGTTGTGAAAATAGATATCAGGAGCTAATTTTACTCTCTTTGATCAGTGTGCTGCTTTGGAACATTATTCCAGAACTGTGCAGACGCTCGATCTTGCAGAGGTAGATTTGGATGCCTGATAGCCCTGATTGGCAGGCCCCCGGCTTCCTCTGGGACTCCCGAGTCATTTGGGGGAAACAAAGAGAGAATATTCATTAGGAGCCTAATATGAATAACAGTCACAGCGTTGTGGTTCGTAAATATTATTCTGCCCTCCTTTGTTTGGAGGAAAACACGAAACATTTGCCGACACATATTTAATATGTCTCAGCTCTTCTTGTTTTTGATTTAAAGGTTTATTCCATACAGCGTACACTTAGGATTTCAGTTTACCCGCAGTGTATTCGTGTCAAAAATAAATTTAAAAGTCATTCAGTCATGCACAGTTAATAATTTGATGGGAATTTCATTGCTTAAATAAAAGTGACGGCCAAAGATTTTGACCGTCACTTCATCTCAAGACACTTCATCTCCAATCGCACCAGATATATTTTAGAATTTAACATCTAAGAGTAAACTCGGGAGTGCTGGATCTCACTTTGGACCCAGATCCTCAGACGTGATGATTCATTTTTAATCTCAGCAGGGCTTCATGCTTCAGCTTATCCATCTGCTCCGAGAACATCTCGACATCATTAAGACCCGGGGAGTTTCCGGGCCACTGATGCAAAATGTCACTCTTTGGAAGCCTACTTTTTTCTCTTTGCCCTGCGACGCAAGCTAACAATGACATGATGTCAGGATTGTTAGAAGAAGTTGATTCTTTTCTTCCATTATCTATTACTGCGTTAATCCAGAAGTAGATTCCTTCTACTTGGACATTTCCTTCACCGCCGGGCATGGGATGGTCTGATAACCGTAGCAGGTATAAAAAGAAGAAAAATGAAAGCTTGTTCCGTCACAGTTGGAACGGTATGACGGAACAATTTAGTGGTTGTGAAACCGTAATTTTTAACATCGCGGTATTTCTTGAAAAAGAGGATTGAGAACATGAACATCCAAGTCCCAGTCAAAAGATAATCAGTATTACAGTTTCAACTTTCCTCAGGTGTCTTAAAAGCAATTAGTCATGTTGTTGAAGGTCATAAGTGAAAATATCAACAATGAAAACTCAGCAAACGTGTTTTTAAAAAGTACATCACTGTGATAGGCTGTTTAGTTCTTCATTTTGATTTTCTTGATGAAACTAAACAAATTACTTTTTTAACCATTAGGAACGTGAATATAGTTTGTATATAATATATTTACTGTTCAAAGATTAAATCGCATAATTGTCAGTTTTCTATAGCAAATTTATTTCAAAGGGTTTACATAAACATGGCACCACTTAAATTAAACTGCTTTTTTCATTCACACAACCAGCATTTTTTAATATAAATAGACACAAAAAGATTTGAAAACTCATTTCATGCAAATCCCTCCACCAAATATGGGTCGCATGTAAAATCTTCTGGTTGCACATATGCTGTATTTGAAACAATCTGACAAAAACAGCGAACAAAGACACTAAAATTAACTTCACTAGTGAGTCTTTATGACTTCTACACAAAAAAAAAGGTTTGTCTATGATTTAAAATCTGCAAAGGAAAATATGAACAATAAAATCAAAATTTTATTACAGAAGAGAAACATTTAATCTTGTACATCACCATTTAACAACATTTCTGAAGTCAGAAAATGGCTGCTTCTTGCTCATTTGTGTGGACTCCAACATAAAAAAAAGAGCAGCTGCAATTTAGCGACTTAAAGATGTTCTTCCTTGGCTTTTGATGACGTTGCATCGTTACAGTGAGACTTCTGGACCTACGAGTTACCATTGTAGATCAATATTAGCTGGATAGCTGCAGTTCTCAACATGGTTTGTCCCGGGTTCGATTTCTGGCCTCCCCTTTCTCTAACTACCCAGCTTCCTGCCCATTTACTGTTCAATAGAGGCCACTAGTGCCTAACGCATCTTAAAGAATATAATCAAATAAAAGACTAGAGGAAAGCAAAAACTAACAGTCAGTTTAGTTAACATTTTTTAAAAAAGGAGTGAAAATTTTTTAGTTTTAAGGACCAAACGTATTAAAAGAAACTGAGGAAATGATAAAACAGATAGTGGGGTTTTTTTCTATTAGAGATCAAACTTCAGCAATATTAATTTTTTTTTTTTTAAAGGGAGAGAAATTTCTCCAAAAACGTGTTATGTGATTTGAAATGCAACAAAAGCTACAATTTTCAGGCATCTTCTTTCCACTTTCCAAAATACTGCCAAAAATCAAGACTATTTTCTCACACTGAGAGCATCTTAAGCAGGAATTTTTAAAAATCGGCTCCCCTCAGTGATAGGGTGGGCTAATAAAGCAGCTCCGCTTATTGAGTCAGAGATCTACGGCCGGCCATCCACACACTGCAAAACCAAACATGACTTCCAAACAACCGAAAGTGTTGCGCTTCCCCACATTTATTTGTTTGACGCTACCTTTGTTCCATCCAAAAGCAGCAATAAGGGCAGCTTACAGTGATAGAAAAGAAAAAGACGATGCCACTCCAGAAAGTACTGACAAACTACAAATATAGCGAACGCTGCGATGCACAAATGCAAACCTGTTTTTAACTCGATACCACTTTCCGCGGCCCACTGAGAATTACACCTTCTACAGTAGAAACAACAGACAGGGAGCCAATGTTTATAAGAGAACCGGATGATGAGGCAGGAAATCTTCAGCCTTTAGGACGAGCCTGCTGCTCCGGTGGGCATTGCTGAAGACATGGTTGCGGGATTTTGACCTTTCCCTCGATGTCTCTGTCCCCCTCGCCGACGTCCTCCGCCTCCGGGTTTCAGCTGCAGACAGACACCGACACCACGCTGGATGTTAGGAGAAATCAGGGGAAGCTGGTTGGTTTTAGTGAGAGAATGCAATCGAGACCGATCGATGAGATTGATGCATGCTAAAAGTAAAGATATCAACTTAAACTAGAATCTACTTAAAATCAAAAAACAATTTTTTTAAGACAACTACATTATTTTTTTTAGGTTGTTTTTTTTAAGAGTAGGATGCTCTGTTTAACAAACTACAAGATCCAGTAACTGTGTTTAGTCTATTTAGATATAAATGTCAAAATAGCAATAAATGAATGTCATTGCATAACTGTAACTGTAATAATCAATACATTCCTTTAGGAAGAATTATATATCTGTTTAGTATGACGTTTTACGTTCTCGGTTTTGTGCGTATGCAAAGTTATCAAACTGCTGGGATTTTAACTGGTGTGTGAAACCTCGTTCTTGAACGACATGCTTCCTTTGCAGGAGGCAAGAGTAGCCAAGCCTCCTGATGTCAAGTTTCTCTCCAACTGTCACCGTGCGCGGGTTTGCAAACGCAACGTGAAAAAGAAAACGCAAGTGTGTGTTCAGATGCAGAAACAGGTGTGCATCTAGGGGGGGGGAGGGAAAAACTCCTGTATGCAGTCTGTGGTCATTTCTCCACTTTTCAAGGAAGGAATCTGCCTACGGAGAAGAATTTGTTAACCTCAGACGCTGTGTGTGAGGTGTAGCAGCCAGTTGCTACATGGTAGCTGATATATATAATATATAAGAAACTGACACAGTGTCTTAAAGAGGAAGACTCCTTAGAACGGATGAAGACAAAGCGTCTCACTCGGGGGACCCGTCGTCAGTCAAAACTTATTACTCACTAAGCTACTGCTGACTGAAGGCTCACTAATAATCCAGCTACGCAGAGACAGGATGGCGGTCCTCTGGGTTCTGTTGGCAGTTTGATTGACACAAAGGTGAACCGTCTGGTTGTGTCACACTTTTACCATTTACATAGACACAGCAATGCCTTGTTGCTCACAGATGTGCTCCTTTGGGGGATCTACTAGGCATGCTCATGTGGCTAATGGCAGCAGTTTAAAAAAAGGCAAGTATCAACTTAATTAAAGCTCAGGTTAAATATTTATACATATATTTACATATATTTCCACAGATTGTCTTTCATGTTATAGTTTTGATAAATATGTAAAAAACTCTTTTTTTTCCTTTTTTTACTTAGTATGTAATGTGTAACATTAAGTAAATGTTAGGTACTGCAGCTTTAATAGCACAAATTAAAACCTTAGTGTTGTCATCTAGAAATATGTTCTCTGCCTTCTTTGGCTCCCAAATGGAGGTTAAAGTTTAATTGGAGACTCCAATGAAAGTCTAATTTATCAATTAAAAAATGTGTGTTTATCACAAATGACTTGTTGAAACAAAAATGATGAAACAACAGTCAATATTCTTCAGCATTTTTATTGAAGTATTAGTTATTGAGCTCTTTTTTAAAAATAAGAATATCATTCTGCCTTCATCTTTGTAACCTCTCAATATTTTTGAGAACCGCTTTCAATTTTTGTTGATTAGTTCACTTTTTCAGCTTTCTCTGCAACACTTTAAGTCACTGCTTCCAGAGCCCGGCCCCGTCTTTACCTTGTTTTCTTTGTTGTCATCTTTACATAGAGCATCTTCCTCTGCCACTGTCTAACGCAGCATGTTAAGACAGCGAGGGTGAGAAGAGCAGGACAACGGTCCAGTTAAAGCACAGAAAATGAGTGGCAGAAACAAGGGGAGGGAAAAGAATGAAATGAAACCACAGTAATGAGAAGGGAAGGTGTGTGTAAGTGAAGACAGATGTAGAGCACAATGACGGCCAATGAAGGTCAAAACAAAACATGTATGCCAGCCAAGAAGGAAAGAAAGGAGGGAAAGTAGAAGAAAGAGGAAAGCATAACAAATTAGCAGGAAAGATTTGTAAAGGTCAAAACACAAACAAAAAAAGCTTTAAATGCATTTCTGAAAAACTTGCAACAGTCAATTTATGTTTCTTGAAACACAAAATTCAAGGCAAATAAACTGTGACAACAGCAGCAATACCCTTCTGAGTGGAAGTGGTCACCGACACAAAAGGACGACTTTTCAGGATTCAGTGGACCCCCAACTTCTGGAGGTTCAGTAATCACAGACTCACACATTCAGCTATTTTTCTGTGGAACATTCCAAATTACTTGTTGGAAATAAGTGTATTTCCAGATTTATTTTATACCAGTCTGAAATATTCAAAAGAAAATGTAGATTGGGAAGCTTCAATAAGTGCAATGCTACTTGTCATGCTTTTTGACAACCCAGGAGCAGCCTTTATTTTTCTTGTCTCTGATTGGTTGTACCCGCAAGAATTTTACAGAAGGACGAATGTCAGCTTCCCAAATTCCACAGTGCAAGTTGGAGTAAATTTGGTGTTTGAAACATTAAAGTAGACAGGTAAAAGGATTTTTAGAGGGGCTCTGGTGTATTTGAGGATGTTAGCTATATTTGGGCCTCTGTGGTCACTGACCCCAAATGAATACCGAACAATGAACAAAATGATAAATCAGTCAAATGGAATTTATTGAGCTTATTTTAATTTATTAAGCAATTAATTGATTTATTACGACAGGCCTTTTGGTTTATAAAAGTATCAGTTTTTGTTTTGAAAATCAATTTTACAGGAAGCATAAAATTATTTATAATTTCATGCTGCCTCTGGCCTAAATACAAGTACCACAGTTATCGCTTAAGGTTAGAAGAAACCAAGTGTTTTTTTTATTTCTGGAAATGCCTCGAAAATGCGTATCAACAAATTTCAGAAAATCCACCAGAAAATTCTGCTGCGATCAGTCCTGCTTTTAATATGAAGACCGAAAAAGACAAAAAAAAAAAAAAGCTAACTTTCTTGTTGAGAAATGTTTGAAAGTACAATAGTGTGAGACTGTCTGGCCGGTATTCTGGTTAAATCTACAAAAACACCCAGCTGAAGCCGGGGACTGATGACTCACCGATGCCATAGTTGGACTTAGCGGTCGTGCTGCTGACCCCGTGTCTTCACTCCCTGTCGTTCCCTCTCTAGAAGACTTCCTACTGACCTGAGACTTGGCCTGCTGGGCTTTGGCAGCTTGTGTGCTCACCGACTGGAGGAGCTGGGAACATGGCCGGTTAGTTAGTTCTATTTGCTAAATCACATCGCTAATATTAACAAGCAGGGACCACTTTGCCATGAGGCCCATTACCTTGGTGATGGTGCCAACGGCTTTGGTGCGACCTTCCCTGAACACGAGCTTCTGATCACAGTGCAGATACTCGGGTGTCTTAATGAAGCGAAAATGGACTGAAGCCTTGTCCCCTGTCCTCAGGCAGTCTTTATTCATGGTCAGGATAGTGGCAGTCTGTCTGATGCTGCCACAGTGGACTACAAGACGGAAAGTCAATAACACGTTTACTTGGACAAGAAAATTTTATACAAGAGAAAAGGCTTGTGTCCATAATACTTCAACTCACCCATGGCCTGGTACCGTGGAGATATTGTGGTTGGATGGTGAAGCACCAAGATCTCAGCCTCAAACTCCCAGGTAGCCTGAGGCATTAACTTTGGAGAAACCATCACCATTCCTTTCCTAATTGATGACCTTTTAATCTGAAGACATGAATGGAGGGCGGAAACAAAACATCACTAAAGATAAAAATGAAAAGGTGATTTCTGGTGCAGGACAACAACAAAAACTCTAAAACCAAGCTTAAGAATCATTCCAAAATGACTTTTTCAGAGGTGAAATTTCATACACTCCCCTCGATAAAGGTCTAAATGTTCCCCTACTGACCTTCTTCAGAGCGAAGGATGCAGTCTGTCCACCATGGACCTCCCTGACGGGCATCCTTTTGCGGTGGATGGACTTCACTGCGATGGGGATGAAGGTACCGAGCGGGTCTGGGCCTAAGAGTAACGTGTCATTGAGTCGTATCAATCCGCGCAGCGTAGTACCAGAAACCACCGTACCCACACCCTGCCAAAGAAGAAGATCGACATGAGATCAGGAGCAGAACTAGATCTCGTCACTGCCAGAACACCGTGATTGGCTAACCGCTTCAGAGCTTCGTCTGTGCTGAACTAAAGGAGTATTTAGCGCTTTTTTTTAATAACAGTCTCAGCAACTTTTCATTCATAAACCTCAAATTCTAGGACCATCAAACCTAACATGGACAATTCTGCACTGAACAGAGATTTGCTCAAATCTCTGTGAAACTTTTATTATATACAGTTGAAAATAGATGTTTACAGACGTGACACTTTCGACGTACAAAACAAAGACAATGCCACCAAATACTGAGGAAATAGAAGTTTTCAACTTTGAAGACATCAATTATTAAATGTCAATGTCAAATTGATTTATATAGCACTTTAAAAACAGGTTCAAAACTGCACCAAAGTGCTGCACAAAACAATAATGAAATAAGTTGATAAAAAGAAAAGAGAAATATTACAAGAAAGGAAAACATCCATATTTACAATAATAAGTATATAAATAAAAAAAGACGGAAGAGCTACGTTATTAGGCCTCAATTGAATGCCAAAGAATAGAAATGAGTATTAAGAAGCGATTTAAATGATCCATCTCTGACATTTCCTCTCATTATTTAGATATTAGGCAAATATAAATAATCTTGGTAATTGTAGCTGACCTAGAACAAGATTTCATCTGATTTCACTTCAGACACCAAGAGAAAAGGTGTGCGAGTCTTTTTATTTAGTGTGTGTGTGTAAACTTCTTGCTTCATCTGTAGGTGAAAACACCACAACGTAGCGTCTTCAAGTCACGGTTGCCATTGGAAACAACTTAAAAATAGACAAATATAATAAGCACAGTATGTATATGTGCAAAACTTGGATCCTTGTTGATTCGTCGGTGCCTTAATTAAAAAAAAAATGGAGTCTTATTTTCACCAAAACTATGAAACTCATCTAATATTTTAACTTGCTTTGGAATGTGGAAACATTTTTTCATTGTTTAATACTCTTTGGAAAGCATTGATTCTACTAGTGAGGATGCTTCACTTTCTTCACATAGATTTTTTTTTTCTCCAGAAGCATGTAATACTATAATCTTTATTTTAGCTATGAGTGTCCACCCAAGCAAGAATTTTCTTGTTTTTAAATTCTGCTTGGATGAAAAAAATAAATAAAAAAATAGACAAACTGCCCTGCGCACACACATCCACGCACACACAGAGTGCATTCATGCCATTCAGAGTTTTATTTGTTTTCTACTTGACTCTGTGGGTGGCATTCATCAAAACTGACATTGGCAATCACCTGTAAATTGGTTCAACTTTAATGTTTGAATCTCTCTCTGGCACCTCGCTGTAAATCACTTTTTGAACTTTTAAAAACTTCTCGGAGCGGGCAGCCCAGTGTGCGACGAATTCCTTACTGGTACAGAGTATGTGTCGTCAATTTGGAACTCCGCGGGCTCGTCGTTGTTGAAAGTGGTCCTCGGGGAGAGCAGGTTCAGGAACATCTTCAGCAGGTCCATGTTCTCTCCCGTCACGTTGGAGATTTGGAAAATGGGACACATCCTTAAAAACATGAGAGAAGCTCAGTGGTTTTAAAAATCCAAAATAAACAAACAAAAACAACAAATAATGAGGGGAAATGATCATCACTCCTCTGCAAGCTTACCTCTCTGAACTAAAATTGGAGGCGGTGACGACGACGTCATCCTTGTTCTGGACCAGAACCGGTATTTTCCTGCAGCCTGGGGACTTCAATAATCTTTGTACTAATTTTAGTGTCTCTGTCGCAACAAAAAAGAAAATAAAAACAAGTGTTTTTACAAACATCACAGACTGAAAATATCAGACTTCGTGACCAGGAAAAAGAAAGCCGTTTAATGATGCTAACATGTTATCCATTGTGACAGTTCAGGTCAGGAGTCCTGACGCTTCTATTCCGTAATCTTTCTCACACAATCCTCTTTTGTGTTACGTTGAAACATCCTGTGGTTTAACTATGAAATCATTTAAAAGCAGAGAAGAATTTAAAACGTAGTTATAGGTCAGGGATCTGCAACCTGTGGCTCCGGGGCCGAAAGTGGCTCTTCGCAACTTCCACAATGGCTCAAACTAATGTTTTTAAATACAGCTTTAACTATAGCAGATGTACATTTTTAATTCAATAACTTCATTGAAATTCCACAACATCGACACCAAAAGTACCATTAATATATATTTTATCTATTTTTTTGTCATTAGATTGAAAATTTGCCTTTTTAAAAATATAATTTCCCACAAATATCAACATCTACAGCAGAAAATGTGTTCATCCTCTTTTTCACAAGATTTTGTGTTTTTGTTTATTTCTTGATGGTTCCAACAAAAACCAACAACGTTTACCAATAAAAATGACATTTTCTTAACACTGACGCTAACCAAAAAGTGCATAAAATGAAACTTGCATCTCCAGCTTTGTCATGTATGCATCCTGCACCGTCTCCTTACCTTGCAAGATGTTAGCAGGACACATATCTATCTTTGTAACAACTACAAACACCGGCACATTCAGGGCCAACGCCAGGCCGAGATGTTCCTTCGTCATGCCAACTATGCCGGCGTTACTGCCCACCTGTGAAAAGATGTGAAACCACAACAACAACAGCAAAAAAAAAATAGAGGTAAGACGCACTGCCACTTTCTTTCAAACAATAACACAAGCTAAAAAGAAGATTCAAAAACAGAAACACAAGCGTCACCATAAGCATGCAGAAGTCTGGCAGGTGACCCGTCATCCCAAACACTGTGGTTTTCAAGTACTTCTCATGGCCGGCCAGGTCAATAAAGGTGATGACCTTTGAGGATTTCTCACAGATCTTGGTCCAGTCCAAGCCTCCACCGTGGCTGTCTGGCTTGTTGACAACCTAAAGTAACAGAGGGATGCAGATACTGACTTTATTTTTTTTTTAATTCCTTTACATTGGATATGTTGGAACAAAGGTGCTCTTATATGTATGTACATAATCGTTTGATTATTTAGATATATACTTTGGTAGGAGACCACATCATAACCAATATTGGTGTGACAATATTTTTGTACATTTGGGGACATCTCTTATGCGCCATCCTAATATGGAGATAAAATGTTTAGAACATATTGGCCACCTTTAGGTATGGATTACTTTTGGACGAACGGAAGACTCCATTTGTTTCCAACTCCAATTTGTCCAATTCCAGTTTGTTTTTAACACCCAAACAAATGAAGAAAGAAAAAAAAAAGTTTTTCTCACATGCAGAACACAACCGGTAAACTCAGGAAATTCCCAGCAGTTCAGTGACTCTTAATGTCGACCAATTGCCAACCTCTCTGGGGAGTTTCAAATTCGTCTTTTCATCAAATCGGTACAAATGTAAATCTTTTTGCAGTAAACTCACATTCCAATATAGCAGACGAGCCTTACGGTTGACGAACAGAACAATAGATGAAAACCAAAGTATGCCAATGACCCGAACGTCAGGACTGTCGTGCTCCCACCACTCACCTGACCCTCCTGGTCGAAGCCCAGGATGTCGTTGCCCACGCTGCTGGTCCTGCCGCTCTCCATTTCATGCTTGTGCCTGAAGAGCTTCTGCCGGGCGAAGCCTCGGCCGTTGTCCAGCTCGCCATGGGTCAACACACCGAGCAGGGTGCTCTTCCCAGCATCCACATTACCAACAACTGCAACTCTAGAGACGACAGAAAGTCAAGGGTAGGTAATTACAATTTCTGCTCTGTATAATGTCTACTGTATTCGTATTTGATCATTTAAAAACTCTACATGTGAACCCTTAACTTATTTATTGGTCCAGTACTCAATTGGTTCCAAGCTTACCTAAAGAACAGAGCTTCTTAGTGCCCACAGGTAACTTTTCACAGGAACGGGGATTAATCACTTGTGGGTGCCACAAGGTTCAATCCTTGCCCCCCTCCTAATTTAATATCTACAAACTCCCATTAGCTCAGGTTATAACAATAAGAAATAAGATTAGTTACCAGAACTGACAGATGATACATAGCTCTATATCACAATGTCTCCAGGTGACTCTGAACAGCTAGAAACTAGTGATCAGACCTGAAATCTGAGGGGAGAGATGGACTTAGACCTGAACCTCAAGAGACACACAAAGACAGTTACAAAGTCGGCCTTCAATCATCTGATGAACATTTCCAGGATTAGAAGACTAGTGTCTCAGCAAAATCTAGAGAAACTCATACATCTTTAGTTGAACTGATTACTACAGCAGTGCTTTCAACTATTTGCCTAAGAAAAGATAAGAAAAAGAGACAGCTTTAGATTTTTTGTAATAAATGGAAATTTGATTGATATATTTGATGTACATTACCTTAAAGATTCTGATGATTTGACAGAGTGTAATGCTTACTGCTGATTTCATAATTGGTGACTAATATTTTTTGCTGAGTACAGCACTTTGAAGTGTGTTGTTGCTGAAATGTGCTATCCAAATAAACTTGAGCTGACTTCCAAGGCGGCCTTGCCTGACTTTATCCTTTGTTTCCCAAAGACATTGTAACAGTGAGTGGATGTGAATGAACACACATCCCCAGCTCCTTTAACACAACATCTAAGGGCTAACAACTTCAATGAATTTCTTGAATAATAATATAGTTTCTCTTTCGGGAACACAAATGGAAACAAAAAAAGAGAGAAATGAAAATCAAAACGAAACAAGAGCAAGCAGCTGGCAGCCAGCTACGCCAGGCTGACATACATTACTAACAGGCTTTGTGCTGTAATAACCTCATCTGGTAGCGTCACCACGTTTACCGTTAGAGGATTTATGTGCTGGTATAACTGCAGTGGAAATGTGCTCACACTATAATCAGATAACAAATAAATAAAAATAAAGTTATTATACTTTTCGATGTTCAAATAGCAGCCAATCTAAGGGAAGAGTTATGAGTTGACTGTGGGCATTTAGAAAAGAGACGAAACAGATCTGAAAATAAATCTAGTAGAGTATTCCATCAGGTCAGTGACAGCAGAAGTCAGTGCAAAATGACATAATATTCCTATTATTACAAACACAATAATGTGAATTAAGGCTGGACAATACATCGATATCAATATACATCTAGCAACAGCCTATCAGGTAAACTCGCGCAGCAGCGGTTTCAGGTTTTGCTGCTTCAAAACAAAAACAATGGTGTAGAAGGAAGGTGATGGAATTCAAGAGGTTGAGAGGAAGCTGTGGATAAAACAGGACAGGTCACATAACCATTTTGGTGACATTTTAGATATTTAAAAGCAAAAATAATTAATCAAAAACTTTTGGTGTGAAACATTTATGTTGACATTATGTTTCTCAACCCAAATGTCAACATGGGGTGAATAAGTTTGACTTCTTCCCACTCCTTTTCAAACTCAATACATTCTTTTGTGTTTAATATATAAACAAAATATATTACTGTATGTATTTGTGTATATGTATTCCTTATTTTAACCTGCCAAGTGGTATAATATGTGTTATTTTCTTTTATGTGGCTTGAAAAAAATAAAGCAGTATCAACCTAACTGCCTCATATTTGGTTGAACGAGCGTCGTCATACCAGTTCAATAGTTTGAGATTTTTGCTTTTGAGATGAAATGACTCCATCCCTCCCAACTACTACTCCACACAGATGCCCCAGCACCCTCCTCGACATGGTTTAAATGCCTCTGGTCTGCCACAGATACATTGAAGCCCATCAAAACCTCTCAAAAGCACACAGAGAACATCCAACCTGAGCACAAAAATGCTCTGGCCGAGGAGGAAACTGTGTCAAAGTCATGAATATTTCACAAAAGCTTTTCATCCGCAGCAGCAGATGAGAAAGAGTGACACATTCAAAACTGTACAATGTCTGGACAAATCTTCCTTGACTTCATCACCGATTTACATTTCTTGGCCTGTTCATAGAATCCAGAGTAATTCACACCTCACTTCCAGGAAATCCTGCTCCCCGACTCGCCGGCGGATGAGGTAGTCTCGAATCTTCCCACCGCTTTCCGTCCTCTCCCGCAGCAGGATCAGGTCGGCCTCGATCTGCTCACACAGCGACCGCACCGTGGCCACCGACGCCTCCATGTCCTTCTCATCCAGACCATAATCGCCTCCATCTGCACAGAAAGCGACGAGTCGGCGCTTACTGGACAGTGGGACTGAAGCGGTGACAGTCCTGTGAGAGAGGGCAAAGCCCAACTGAAAGACGCAAAACCTACAAAAAGGTGGAATGAAAGATTTATGTGGATCTCAGTATAGAAATTTGAAAACTTCAATTACCGTGACCCTAAACAACCCCCTGAAACGACTTAATTATAGCCTATTACCTACAAACAAACAAAGAAAACCATACAGTAGTTTTTGTAAACACTGCAAAAACAAAATATTACCAAGTATTTTTAGTCTACTTTCTTGTGACAATATCTCAGTACACTTTAACAAGTCACAAATAACTTACAAGTAACTCTTCAGGATGACAGGAGCTTTTTGTAAGTCAATAATTCCATAATATTTATGGAAAAGTAGAAGGGGAAAAAGTCTTGTCGTAGGTGAAATAATCTTTCAGAGCAACTAGTAAATTTTTTATCAATATTAAGAAATTGTTTGCTTAAACCAAACTCCAAAATCTAACTGTAAAGCTTCTGGTAAGTTAGTTCTGTCTTATTTCACGTGTACTACTTTATTTGCACAATAATCTCGACTAAAAACACTCGGTGAAATCGTGTGTTTCTGAATGTGTAAATACTAAAGAGATGCATTCACTTCAATGGAATGCTTTTCCAAGAAAGAGTCGGATCAACTTCCATCGTGCTTGATGCAGCTGCGACGTACTGCTGTCTAATTACAGACAAGAAAAGCTGCATTACCCTGAGAAATGAAGACATTTACTCAGGTCAGCTGGTAACCTGGGCAGAATAAGAGCGGTGAACATCGACTTGCTTTTCTGAACGAGTGACAGTCGCTCTGCAAAGCACTGACAAAGCGCACCCTTTTAAAAACGCACTGCAAGCCCCGCCCACACACCACACACCCCGACCTGAATGCCACATAGGTCAGGCATGCTGCTGTAACAGGCAAAAGAAGCCTGGCTGCATATAAAAGGCTCTCGTGTTTCTGTGTGTGTGTGTGGAACAGAGGCAGTTTGAAAGCCATACAACAAACAGATAGGATTAACCATGTAGGGCTGGCTTTGCTATGTTTGCATATAGATAACTTTTACTTGTGGATTTATGTAAATCCAGACAACATGTTCTGCATTTTATGCTCACATTTGAGAAAAGTAGTAGAGATGCCCCAAGTACAATCACCAGATATGAGAGAATTTTACATTCATGGACTCTGACTGGTGACTGGGAGGTCAGCTACCAAAATATCAGATTTTATTTTGTCTCAACCTACACATTGAATACCATTGTTAGTCCATAAATGATTAAACCTACAGTTTTAACTAGAGTTTATTTTTTATTTTTTGGATAAAAAAGGGACACTGGGCGGCTCAGTTGGTAGAGAACACACACCATGTGCGTCGGCTATAGTCCTTAATCGGGTCGTCCCAGGTTCGATTCCGAGTCTCGAATCATTCCATCTGTTCACCTTTTCTTGTCATTTCTTAATGGAGAGTTGATCAAAAGCACATTTTAAACTCTTTTCAAAAAGGGATTTGGTCAAATGTGTTAAAATACACCACCTAGAGTCAGCTAACGATGAGCTGGACACTAAATAGGTTAAAATGCAACCAAAGTCCGCAGAGAAAATGTGAAAAGAAAAGGAACAAAAAAAAAATCACAATAACCAACAGAAAAATGTGCTTTTGTTTTTATTGACTGATACCAGCTGTGTCAGTTTGCTCTCACAGATAGAAATATAGGTTAGGAAACTTACTTGCTTGAGCACAAAATTGATCAAATCATCCATACTACCTGAGCCCATCCCGACCACATAGATGGTCTCTCCACATCCCTCTTCTATCCGCTCCCTCAGCTGCCGCAGTAATGAATCGTACTGTTCTCCTGTCGGGCTCACGAGAACCAGCTGAAAAACGAGAGGCAGAAACATCTCATCAACAGACCACGTTAAACATTTCCTCCTTGGAGTTCAAAAGTTCCCTAATGATTTCATTCAATGTCAACTGTGAAGGGATGTCTTGAGTCTGCACTGCATCCACACTGTGAAGATTCATTGTCACTGCTTGAAGCCATCAGAGGATTATAGCGGGTCTCACCTTTTTGCTCAAGTCTAGGTAATCCACAGACTGCCCATTTGTCCCTTCGCCGTCCTCAAAGTCTTCTCCACGGGATGCATCATCAGCACATCCCCGGTCCGGTGCGAACATACAAGCTGGTACTATGGACTCTGAAGCTGCTGAGCCTGGACATGTCGCCGCTGATGCCATATCTAAAAGCAAACAGCGTTAAGAGAGTCGGAACTAAATTATCTCACACTGTTCCTGACTGTAGATGAATAGTAGAAGTTAGCAAATAGTAAACACAAAAGTTAGGCTGAGTATAGACCTAGCTAACGCTAACCAAAAGCCGAACTTGGAAGTGAGAAAACAAACTCTACACTTGATCAAAACAGACGAACGTAAACCTTCACATGTCAGTGCTCTTATACTTTTAATTTTGCATTTACAACAATAGGTCGTTGATGTGGCAATGAGTTGACAACATACCAGTAAATAAAAGCTAGCAGATCGGCTAACTTTGTTGTTTACTCTATTTGGCTTCGATTTCTGGGCTCACAATGTTTGCCCCGCCCACAACGAAAGCAAAGACAAGCGATTGGCTGTGTAACGTTACGTCATAAAACAAGTAGACTATGTTGCATTCGAGAAACACGGAAAGAAGAAAATTTCTCCTGCACTTCTTTTATAAAAGGTAAACTTATGAACATGTGCTTATATCTACGAATAATTGCCTTCTGACATGAATCCCAATATAATTCCCACTTGAAGCTATTACATTAATTATTTTCAAATCAATTAGAGACTAAATATATGGTCTTGATATTGAAATAACTATCAACAAGCGCAACTTCCAACTTGATTCAAAATGGAAGATTCTTCAAATAAAGTGAGCATGCGCTATGTTAAAAATGCCACATCTCCTTGAGAAATACAAAGAACTAGGCGAGGAAATATCTTTGAAAAAATGTTTCCTTTTGGGAACATTAATCATTCAGTGTCTAGAAAATGATGTGTGAAATCTGTCATTGCAAATGAATGCATCGTGAGACACAAACCGCACCCACTTGAGTGGGCGTCACCTCGAAACTAAAATTATATATCCGTAAAACTCAAGTCCATGACACGTAGACAGCTACACACGGTGCAATACGTCACAATGATGCACCGTACTGACAATAAGCGATAACTAAATCAGTTAAATCATGTCAATTATCGTGCTTGTTGTCCAGTTCTAAAGGACGATTCGGTTTCAGTGCAATTCAAATGCATGGCGCTGACAATACAATATGACATTTTATTATCTTTTTACTGCCACTGAAATTGTTCTAAGGCCAGTCAGGTTGTCAACTTCCGGGTGAAGCTTGGAGTGAGACCAGGGTCCAGATGGTGCAAGTCATAAAACCATTGTGTGTCATATGAGTTATTGCACCCTGATAACATGACGTAGCCTATATTGACATATTTCTTTTATTGACGGTCCCTGAACAAAAATCAGCATAATGAGAATTTAATTATTTTCATAAACTATCATTTATGATGAGAATAATAAATGATGAAAACAGACAATATTCACTAACAAATATACATAATATTGGAGCTCTTCTTAGCTCATATGGGAAGTAATAATCACCTGTTTGATGAGCAAACAGAAGCAGGAGCCATCTTGCTTCCTTGCTGGTCATTTTGCTCAGACTCATAAACATTGCTTTGGCAAAATAGCTGTAAAGTGTAGATCTCAGCAAAACACAGGCAAACAATGCATTTTGGTACTTACAAAGAGTACATCTATAGCTTCCTTTCAACAAAATAAAATGTTGGGGGGGAAGGCAGGGGAGAAAGTGTGTTGACTATTTTTAGTGTCGTTTAGCCAGTGAGATGTAAAGAAAGAGTTGGTAACCCTGGGAGAATGCATCCCAGCGCATCTCATGAAGCCCTCACGTGCCTAAAACATTCATAGTCTTTGAACTTGCAAGTTAATGGTAAACTGCTACTACTGCTCCACATCCGATTGGCTCCTTCCTTCCCCCTTTCCCCCCCCACCCCCGTGACGTCACAAGGATGAAATAAAGCATTAACCAGCGAGCAGGACGTTCTCACTCGAGGGACAAGCCCGAGAAGACCGCCAAGATGGTGAGTAGTGTGAAGAACGGCGTCGTCCATGGCCAGAAGGGACTCAGGGCCTTTTCGTTGTCCGTCATTTTGGCTAACCTGGTCGAAAAAAAAAATAAAAATAATCTCTCATGATCTGTTTTTACCCACTAATTTTTAAAGTAACTATATTTATTTGCGTTTCGTTTTGTTTAAATTAATATTTAACGAGCTGAACAGATACTCCACATCGTGTTATCGTCAAACCGACTAAATGTAACTTTTTCTCGGAAGTGATGAAATTGATGAGAGGTTGGCAAAAAAAAGAGAGAGAAAGAAATAAATGAAATATATTTATATGCAGGTGTGTGTAATCTGTCAAAATGAAGGAGGACAAATTTATTCATGCAACGTTAAAAAAAAAAAAACAGCAAAGAGGAAAATATTCTGACCATGGTATGAACATTTTCCCACATGGCTGACTTTGAATACTCAACATTGTTTTTATGATATATTAAAAGGTTGATTTACATGAATTTAGTCTTTGATTTGAGGCTAATGATTTAAGCATTTTTTAATAGGCAGGTGAAATTCTGACAAGAACATCAGATGTTTGACTTCTCTAAAATACACAGGAAGACTCAATTGTCTTTTTTATTTATCATATATTAAATTTAACGAGGACTGACCAATAGCTTCTCAGCGAGCATCAGCTGCTAGTTCTTGATGACGATAATATCGTAATATCGTTGGTAAAGTGCAGCACGTTGCAACTTTTACAAGTTATTACTTAAAATGTGTCCAGGGAGGGAAATACGTGTAATCTTGTAGGAGATCTAAATAATTAACTTCCTCATAGGGATCAATAAAATCCAGTCCACTGACTATTTTTCCAGCACCTTCTGTGTCAAGTCAATGATAAACCAAACTTATATGCCTGGGAGTTTGGGGGTGTTATAAAAGTGAGACGACTATGGGTGTGGCGACATAGATATAAGGGGGGGGGCAGAATGTTGAAGTTCATGTTTTAACTATGTGCTCAGCACATAGATAGGAAGCACAAACGTCAATGGGATCTATAGCTTTATTGGCAAGATAAAGAACTTCGCAGAACTGAAGGAAAATCCCTGGAAAGTCAGAGTGACTTTCTCAAGCACAAGCCTGGAATAGGAAACAGCTCATTTGCTTTTAAATAAATGCATAAAAAAAAAAAATTCCATTTTCTGTCCTTGTACACAAATACAGAGAGGTATAATATATGAATTTACAGATAAATCTGACAGCAGATTGCAGCATTTTGGTGAGTTGTGTGTGTGCGTGCGTGTGTGTGTGTGTGGGGAGGAGTGTTGGGGGGGTTCTGATATGATTTTGCTTCATCAACATGATGTCCACATGTCTTTGAATACATAGAGCACCTTCCTCTTTTGACTCGCTTTTACAACCATGCATTGTTTTAATACTGGTTGATCATCAACTGCTGAGATAAGAAAAGCTTCTCATTACTGATTCTGAATTTAACAACGTGACTTTCTCTCTCTCTCTCTCTCACACACACACACACACACACACACACACACACACACACACACACACATACACACACACACACACCCCACACACACACACACACACACAAATAAAATGCTATCAATCAGGTAAATCATTTCATCATTTACCTGGTTGTGACATGGTACTGCTCATGAATGCATCTACTTCTCTGCAAAGTAGAGAAGCAAAGCAACTTTTTTGTGTAAAGAATTACATTTTCCCTAAATTTAATTTTTTAATAACTTTTTCAGGGGGTGGGGGGTATCTGTGTTAAGTATGAATTCACTGTTTGCCCTAGTAAACCACATTCACGCAATCTTTTAACAGAAAGTCCAGGACATGTCATTCAAGGAAGGGCAGGAGTTTAAAGTCAGAGTCAGACCCAACGATGACTGCGATGGGTATGCAAATGCTTTTTTTTTTTTTTTTAAGCACAACAATGTCTTTATCTGGTTTGAAATGCAGGTTTCAGTCAAATTTTCACCAAGAGGAAGAAGCGCGGTGAAATACAAGCTTCTTACCGTTTCTTTGCTCTCTTCTTACCTGTTCCTGCTACTGCCGCAGCTTTGCACTCAACATCGGTCACGATCCGGAGAACATCGCGATGCACTTCAACCCCCGCTTCGAGCAGAACGTCATCATCTGCAATTCCAGGTCTGGGGGGAACTGGGGTGAAGAGGAACGAGACATGAACTTCCCCTTTGTGCGTGGGGAGGAATGCAAGGTGTGTTTGTGGAATTGTTTCTTGCAAAAGATACGGCAATACAAGTTTTTCTTTCCAAAGTGAGCCACACAAACTGCAAAAACACAAAATCTTGCCAAGTATTATTGATCTAGTTTCTAGAGCAAAAGGTAAAATTTCTAGTCATCAACACAACTCAAAGACCGCATGTTAATTCGGACACCGTATGAAGTTGAAAAAAGAAACTTCTACATTTAAACAGAACATTGTTTATTCTATACTATTGAATACTTAGTGAACCGATTTGTTTAAATTGTAATTCCAGAGCATATCCAAAAGCACATTCCTGTTGTTGCGCCTATATGGATCAACATTTATGAAGTCTCAGCCTCATCAGCTACAATAGACCCTGATGTAACAATTTATAGTATAACAGACTACTGAATGAAACAAATGAAAAAAAAAGTTTGAACCAAAACAAATTAGTCCTTAGACATGATTACAGAAACATTTAGTATTTCCAGACTATTTTCTCCATGATAAAACATATTAAGAAATTTTTGTTCTTTGTTGGTGTAATGACCCAAAACTATTCATGAGTCTCAGTTTACCCAATTAGTAAATAATTGGAAAAATCTGTTCCAATCATTCTAATTATTATTGCACATTTCTACAAGTGGGTGTAAGGTCTAGTTTGGAGCACTGCTTTGTAGGTAATCATAAAGGAGAATATGGGGCCATAAAACTCACAATCTCCATTATTATTGGACAATAATTCTGTTGAAAATGCTGCTTTAGTCATTCTTTAACACATGTTCTTGTTCTTTAGTGTTTCTGCTGTACAAGTCAGATTTTCATCAGAGAACTAAATGCATGTGCTTCCCTTCTTTTCTTACGTTTGGCAGTTTTACATTAACTTCAACATGGAGCAGTTTTACATCAAGCTTCCCGACGGCAGCATGATGAACTTCCCCAACCGTCTGGGAGATGTCAAGTACAAGTTCTTCGACGTCACTGGCGGCGCAAGGATCGTGGGGATGAAGATCAAGTAGGGGGTGAACTCCTCTCAACATCTTCTGATCTGCCGGATGGAGAAATGGTCCGTTTCAGAGTCGCTGAACCCAGCCACTGTTCCGACTGCTTGCTGAGACACAGCTGTGTTGCAATGACGAGAAAAGGTCTGCAGATGGCGCCAGATCATATCTTATGTCACCGCTTTTGCTCTTATCGCCTGATATCTTCAATTAAAGCTGAAAAGGGACAAGTTTGATTCTCTTTTTGCTTCACTAAAATTTAAGTATACACATATAATTTTAAAAGATAAATGTTACAGGTCATCTAAACACAATTGTACACAAAATTCAAAGGATATCTGACACACTTACAAGGTGTAGGCAAATAAATGTGCTGGCAACCCTGAAAGAAATGCGTAATAAAAACCCTGCGCAGTAGTATAATCTTTGCTGATATTGATTAGAGAGCTGCCAGCTTTGGCTGTCGACATAAAAAGACAAATTAGTAAGAAAAAGCAGAAAATCGAGAATCGAGCTTAGTTTCATTTTGTGAAAAAACATAATTTGGGGAAATTACTCACAGGGTGGTGTGAAACCTGGTAATGTGAAAGAAGGGACAAGTGTTAGATGAGAAACTCTGTCAGAAACAATTTGCAGCAGGACTAAAAAAAAGCTCTGTAGAGAAGCTGAGGAATGTGACACGATTGAACCACATTCGCTGTGAGGACAGGAAACTTCATTTACAAGTCAGGAACTTTGTTCAGCACAGCTTCAACTAATTTAGAGACATGAAAAGGAAAAATTTGTAACCTGATTAGAATCAAAACAGGACTAAAATCTCTGCATCAAACAAATGGGAAATTACCACACAAAAGTATCGCATTTCCTCACAATAAATTAGCAAATACATCCTGGTACATTTTATGTACAGTAACAAATGACAATTTGAAATTGCACATTTAAAAACATGTTTATATACTCTTAACTCTTTGGTGCAAAAAAACTGAAAAGTTTTCCATTACACCGCATTCATTTTTTGCTTGAGTAAGATTGAGATAGGACTGCACATAAAAATGACCCTTTATTAGCCATTTAGTCTACCAACAATAAAAGAAAAACAATTAAAACTCTCAGATGACTTTCTATTTATATAAGTGACAGACTTTCTGGTCGGCCTTCATTCCTTTCACTGCTTGAGCGATAAAAAAAAAAAAAACATTCAGAGGCTCTGCCTTCATCCACAGAGTCGGATATGATTCAGTTATTACCCTGTGAAAATAATTAAAAAATAGTCCAAATAGTGTCCTTTCTTCATACTGAAAGTTTCTGTTTATGTCTTAGAAGGGATGGGAAGCCCCCCAAAAATCCTCCATATCTTTTAAGGGGGCTCCGTAAGAGTCAGACTTCTTCACATACTTCACACCAGTTTTTTTGTCTTGGACAATTGCAAAAACTGAGTTGGTGACCGAAATTACTTGGGTAACTCCAACTCCACCTTCAAAGTGTCTATGTGCAGTTGAACAATGTCTCTGTTCAGCTTCATATTGTTGGCTCATGGCTAATGAGTCGAGGACGTTCCATTGCCTGAATCTACGGTGATCCATCAGAGTTCCTGAAGAGGTGTTGTCACAGCCGTACCAAGATCAGCCTTGCTAGATCCCCCAGACGGGCCTTTCTGAGCCAAAGAATCTTTGTAGTTTCGGGTCAAGAGAGTGTAAAGAAAGGGATTGACACAGCTGTTTCCATAGGTAAGACACGTGACAAAGAAATTGATGTATTTGTGAGCAGCTGCAGACAAATCTTTGAGGGAATCTGGGGAGAAAAGTTTAGCTAGTTGCCATCCCCAAAACGGTAGGAAACACGCCCAATAGGCTACTATGATACTTAATATCATAGTTAGCACTTTTTGTTTGAGTCCTTTCCTGCGGGCTGAATGGCTGCTACCCCCTAAGCTAGCCTGCACTGTCCAGTAGCGCCTTGCTAGCCCAGCATACAGTCCAACAATTATCAGTCCAGGGACTAAGACACTTGTGAAAAACAGTACTGTAAGGTAAGCCTTAAAAGCTTCTGGCGTCCAGGTGGGGTAGCAGATTCTCTTCACAAGGCCATATGCACTAGGCTTGGCCTCCCTGAGCTGTATCATCACCATCATGGGAAGAGTTAGAGTGAAGGCCAACCCCCAAATAACTCCTGCAGTGAGTCGTCGGTTCCGAGACGAGGATCTGTGGGCACTGAAGGGCTTGGCAACGGCACGGTAACGTTCTAAGCTCATCGCAACCAAAATGAAGACGCTGGCATGCATGGTGAGGAGATCGAGACTCAGGAGGATGCGACAGCCAGCCTCGCCGAACAGCCAGTCGTGGGCAAAGTAGGTGCAGACAACAAAGGGGATGGTGGAGAGGTAGAGCAGGTCGGCCAGGGCCAAGTTGACAATGTAGACGTACATGGAACCCATCCGGCACAAAGCGGCTGACCGCGTTACGACGAGCGTGTAAATGTTTCCCGCCAGTCCTACGGCGCACATGACCAAAAGCGTGGCACCGAGTAGGGATGTCACCCACAGACCTCCACTGGCTCCAGCAGCACTACCACCAAACAGAGAGGTTCCATCTTCAGCCCCCGGGGTAAGACCAGGTCCCGTCTCAGAAGTGATGGTGGCATTGAGGGTGTAGTTCATTGCAGATGTATAGATCAGGAATTAAAGCAGACAGGCTCTCTGTCTGACTTTATGAGAACATCTAATCAATCCAAATGAAAATCAAACATTCTTGACAGCTTAGGCTGTTTGAGACTAGTTAAACCTGACCAAAGAGAAAACAGAAAATAATGACAACAAATGTTACGGAAAAGATATTACTGTGCAGAGAAGATTTAAATTCAATACTCACACAAACTGAGCCAGAAAACTGCTGGCTCCTCCCAGTGTTTGCTGGCCAATTTCTTCCAATTTATTTATGCTCGCAATCGTGGGACTTCAAAGACACCTCAAAGTAAAAAGCAATGCTCTCACTTCCAGACAGCAGGGATTTCTCCTGCTGAGTCTGGGTTAAAGTAGAACCAACATGAGATTTTTGTGAGCAGTAGGGAAGTCTCAGCCCGTCCTTTTGAGAGGACTCCAGTTGCTAACATCTCGGGAACAATTTCTACAACAGAGAGGAGAAAAAAGATCCCTTCTTTTTCCCTTATTATTATGGTTATTAACTCCCACTCGTTTCACTTGTCTCGAAGGTACCAAGTTAGGTTGTACAAGCAATCGTCGTGCATCCAGTCAGAGTCAAAACTTATCTCCTTGTCTCTCTAGGCTTCTTTGTCGATGTTGACATTCGAGACGTTGCGGTAAAAATCCTTCATTTCCACATACGCCATGATGATTTCCTGCAGGTCTTGTTTATCTACTTGGTTTCCTGTGGTGGAAGACGAACCATCCGTTTCTTCTCGGCTCCGAAAATCCAGCTTCCCTTTTGAAGTTTTCTTGGTTGCAGTTCCCTTGTCTCCCTTTTCAAATTTGTCCTCCCTCTTTCTCACCAGGGTGAAAAACTGGCACAGGCCGATTGATTTATGTGACATTCCTCCCTGGCCTCAGCCTAATGTCTCAAAAACACCAAGGTGTGGATTTAGACACCACAAACTGCTGGCAGGGGCAACTGTCAGCAACTACTATATAATACCAGAGTTTATATACTCCCATCGAAGTCTGTAAAATTGAAAAGGTGTCATTTTGGGGGGCTTTTAATGAAGCGCTGTAGTTTGAATTCAGAGTCCAATTCTCTCTAATCCACACAAGTTCAGATTTGCACATCTGCACTCATGAAATTTTAGGTCTTTTAGCTAGTCGTGGAGAAAAGGATGACATTTTTGAAGCCATTCTCAAGCTTTGAGCATAATTTCAGATGCACATTTCACCAACATCCTTGACAGATACATAAGAGGCTATTTAAACTGACTGATTTCTTGCATGGACTCAACTTGTGTGGATTAGTATTGCTCAAATAATTTCAGTAGGTTTAAAGTCAGGGTTGCTTGGTGTCTTTGTCATGTTAGGACACACATTTGTGTTAAAGTTTCAGTCAGCTAAACCAAATTGTCATCATCAGTTAAAACAATACAGGCAAAATTCATTCAGTTTATCTGCAAAAAAAAGTTGATTTGGGGTTCAGTTACTTTTTAAATCTTGAACAGTTTTTTGTAAATTTAAAAGCACAGATTATACACAGATTCCTTTTTTTTCACAAAGCAGATTTTTAATGGTCTAAATTTTTTGCAAGTCAGCAATTGTGAGTCAAGAAAATAATTCTAATGGAAATTAAACTGAGATGAGTACATTTTGAAAATACAGAGAAATCAAAAAAATGAAAAGGCAACAGTGGTAAAAAGATAGTACACCCTCATCAATTTCTAGAGTTGTATATATTTTGTAAACTTGAGATTGGGCTTCAAATGTTTTTAATTTAAAACAACAGATCAATCATAAAATAAAATCCTAAAATTAATAGAGGGTGGGGTTTCATTTTATCACGACCACAGATGCTACATAAGTACATTTGTAAACATTTTTAGTTTTAATTAAAGTGTTGTCCCACATGGAGGTGCTGCTAAGTCATACAACTGCTGGAATTGTTTTCAGCACTTTGCTCAAAATACATTTTAAAATTGGCTTCCTTAAGTACTTTTTTTGTAAGAATACTATGAAAAGTATGCATTTGTCTTAATGAATAAAAATTTAAAAAATTAACAGAAAATCTGATCTTTTGGGTGATGTAATACAAAAATATATATATGTATATGCTACAACTAGAAAATTAAAATTCTGCTAATAATATGACTGTTTTTTTTGTCTCTGATAAATGACAACAATTCGACCCATAGGAACATTGCAAAAAAGAAATCGTTTCGGTAATTTACAGAATACCAAGCCTTGTAACCACAGCAGCTAAAAAAGCTCCAACATTTAGGAATCCATAAAGCTTTGACCATAGTGTTTCCCTATCCGTGCATATATCTACAACTTTACGAGCAGTAAAAAAGAAACTACAAAGTCAAAACATAAATACTTGGGCAGAAATAGCTGACACAATAGGAAAAATGCATCTTTTACCATCACATAATTTAAGCTAGCCAGCTAGAAAAATAGTCAGCTTGCTTTGTAACTAGACAGGCAGATGGATAGAGAGAGACAGCTAGATAGAATATACTTATATGGATTAAATTAATTACTAGTGTAAAGAATTTCACACAACAGTTTATTGTTGTGTGTCATTATTATGTTACTCACCATTAGCCATAAGTCACAAGAAATAAAGATAGAAAATGTGCTCTTGTGACTCATTCTGGACAGGTAACTAACTTTGTTCTGTGGTAAGAAGCTTTCCTGACACAAGGGTCAATAAAAAAAAAGAAGTGGTATCAAAATTAGAGCACAGTTAACCCTATCAGAAAATGCTTTGGTCAATTTGTTCTCACTTTTCACCCTGAAGTCCACATTTTTGGGATAATGCGCCATGCTCCAGCTTGTGAGCAGCAGGGTCGGTGTTGGTGGGTGTCGAGGGGAGAAACGGCCTCCGGTCTGTCAGTGTCGGTGCCTTAATAAGGCCTCCACTTTGAACACAAACACAAATCCCAAGTTAACGTAAGCCTCCTTGGAGCTAATATAGTCACTTTTAAAAGGCATTAAACAAGTCTGAGTCCTTACTTGTGAAATCCTGCGGGGACATCTGAGTGTTCATGACATTCTTGAAGTGCTGCAGCCAATCCTGTTGGTCACTCTCCGTCTCGCACGTAAACAGGAAGGAACGTTCAGGTGTCTCTATAGTGATGCCATATTGCCAAGCGCCGTTGCAGTGGGTGCCTGGCGGTAAGCCGGCAGAAGCGCTGTAATGGTTGTCATAGTTCCCCAGGAATACCTCACCTTTAGCGAAGGCATCCTTCAAACACAGGCAAAGTAGAAGAAAGAGGCAAAGGTTATAGGAGACATTTTGTTTTAGTCATCTCCAATGGGCTATTTTAGCATCCGACTGTTCGTTTTTCTTATCTTCATGGATCAATTTTATTTTGATATTCCTGGTTGGATATTCACACAATGAGAGTGAATATAGCAGAAAAGTATTTTCAGTTTTATTTTATAACCATACCTTCATTATGATTAAAGGAAAAAACTTCAAACCGTGTCTAATTTCTAGTGCAAATATCTTAGTGCATTTTAAATAGGACAAACTAACTGGTATTAACTGGAATTATCTTGAAAATTGGTTATTGCTAGGAGACACTGAAATGTGACATTTAAATAAATAAATAAATAAAAGGGAATCAGGAAGGAAACACTTTTACACACCACTGTAAAATGCCAACATTTTAAACCAACCCTGTAACCATGCTGAATTTGTTCTGGTGTGGGCATTTATCGTATCGCTTATCACTTATCGTGATAAATTTCTTCAGAAAAGAATTTTGATTAATCATTGTCAAGATAAATTCCAATTAAATGCTCCCAAAATGTTCTTCAATAAAGTTATCGTGTTCAGGCTGGTGACAAAAATCACACTTTTTTATGTGACTGATGTCCTAAAGGAGCATGTTACAAATGAAAACATTTTTCAAGAGCATTTATTGTGTTTGTGGGTCTATGCTTGCTGTGACACAGTCGCAGTTAGCTAAAAAAAAGATGTAGAGAACAGTTCTTATTTTCACTTTTATCATTATCACAATGGCTCAGCAAAATGTAGTGATAAAACTTTAATCCCTATCGCCCTCTCATAGTTTTGACTACAGGTTAGTGAACATTTTTCCAAAAACCGAATTCAATTTTATTTTTAATTGATTTTGACTCAGTCTTGTGAAAACTACAGAAACCGGTTCAAATCATGGAATCATCTAATCTCGTTTTCTAGCCACTGGTCAACCACACTGCAACAAAAAACAACCTCTACTCGGTATATTCAAAATTTTGAATGTTGTTCTGAAAGCCCTGTTATAAAACATAACGGAATTGTCCGAAATGACTCTTTCGAGATGAAAAAAATTCAGAGATTGAAGCCATTCACTTTTTACGACTTTGTCTGGCTTCAGATGAAGCCGGTGTGTGTGTGTGAACAGACTCTCATACCAGTGGGTCTTTGAAGTACATCAGCCGTCTCTGATCCAGTGTGAACCAGCGCTTCTTGAAGCCCTCTGTTTGCTACGTAGATGAGCGGGGAAACACAACCAGAAATAGAATCAGTAAGGCATTGTGCTCACATCGATAGCACTCTATTAAACCGAAGCATGGTTCGTTTCTAGAATGTGCTGGCTGGTTTAGAAAAGAGAAAAGAGTCCCGGAACTCTAAAATCTGTCTGTCAAACCATCAGTCGTTGATTGGTCATATCGGTAAAGGCTTTCCACTGGAGTTCTTTCTGAGACCATCTCTAAATATTGAGAGATTGATTGTTCTCCTCACATTTTGTCCAGGGGCTCGTGCCAAAACACATCAAGTGTAACTAAATCAACTCAAAAAGCAGCAGGTTGGCGAGTCATTTCATCTGCCCACATCGCAAACATCCACAGAATAAAAATAGATTTATTTTTTCTGATTGTCTGGAGTTAAATCAGACCAAACCTCTCTTGTTTTCTACCAGTTTGAGTTACCAAAATAATTTCTATCTGCTACAATAATAAGAGAAAATATTTCAGATGTTCATTTATTAATGTGCAAAAGTTCATATACACAATGATGATTTTTATGTATTTAAACAATGAGAAAAAATTACTTTGGAAACTTCTGATAGGTTAACTGGAGTCACACCTGTGGTTGTATTTCAAGGCCACACCTTAAGACACACTGCGTTCTTTTCTTTTTTTTCTTCCTTTTTCTTTGAGAAAGGCATCAGGAAGAGAATTGTAGAGGTACAAAAGTCAAATTCATCCTTTAGAACAATTTCTAGAAGTTGCTGCGTTCCTTTGTTTGTACAATTATATACAAGTGTAGACATGATGACAAATGTCCGGCCACCATTCTGAATGAGTTTTGACCCGAAATGTAAAAACTGAACTGAAGCCAACTGATTTAGCAGATATTAACAAATAAATCGCTGATGTATTACTGTGGCATTCATGGAGATAATTTTGGAAATTCTGACTAAACTAAAACACGAGACGTTTGGGCTGATTTCACCAAGGCGGACACGCGCCGGTGCTGGTACATGTTTACATAAATCCTGACAAATGGCTCCTTTGTTTATTTGCACGGTGCGTGTCTGCCTTCCGCGTTTGTACTTGAGAGATGAGATTTAAGCGAGTTCTCACAAGGGATACCTACCATCCAGTCAGACAGGTAAAAATCAGTCACATTGACAGCTGAGTTAATTTTTTAGCCTTATTTTTTGTTTTTTAATTTGTTTGGTGTTTTTTATTTTTTCCAATTAGACCGCAAGCTGGAATAAAAGTGGGACATAGACGTGTTTATCTTGTTAAATGCTGATCCTAAAGGAAGACAGGATCAGTCTGACACCCTAAGACTGCATAACAAATTGGACACAATTTAACTGAACCCTCCAGTTTACTTGCAGTAAAAGAGAAAAGAAATAAACCACAAATAAGAATAAAAACGAATGTATAGAACAGGCTGCTTTCTATAATTAGCAAAAGAATCATGGAAAAATTTAGAGGAAAAAAATAAAAATTTGAGAAAATGAAATGAGGAAAATCGATTTTTAGTTTTGCGGGGGGAAATAGTAAGAGGCTTTTATTGTGCTGGGTAAATCAGAGAAGTAAGAAAAATAGATCAAGGTGGAGGAGTTACAGCTGTGCACATGTACAGGCAAGCAGCAGTGGATTTACTTACCCTGGGGCCGGTTTTTTCCATGTATCCTTCTTTGACAAAGTTTCGAGTGAGTTTGGGTACGAGCTGAAAAAGAATCACGATGTTTCTTTCAGTGTGGTCAACAATGAGCAATTACTTTTCAGGAAAGGTTCGTGCGTCTACCTCCGCATCAGTTGCGCCGGGAAAGGCCACTCTGAGATACTGAAGCTGAACCGAACGGATCGAATTAAACCAGTCAACAATTTCCTGGAAAAAAAACAAAACAACAAGTGAAAACATAAATAAGGATATAAAATTTAAGGCATTCACACTACACAACTCCACCAGGTTTTAAACTAAAAGGTGTCAAATTAAAAAAGGGAAGTTTGAAAAACTAAAAATCATTTTCCCCCTTGACTTTACAGTTATACACTACTTCATATCGGTGTACGACGTAAATCCCAATGAAATACATTTTATTATTGTAATTGTAGCAAAATGTGAGATTTTTTTTGTGGACACTTTGCGGCACCATGCATTTGTGGAGGAGGAGAGAAGTTTGGGTTTTCATGCAATAAAGGAAACTGGGCGATTTATTTTAACCCACCCTCAACATTATGTTACTAAATATTTTGGCATTTTTTCATGGAGAATGTGGACCCATATTACAGGGTACTTAGGATGAATTTGCCAACAACTAACAATTTTGGATTTTATTTCTTAGTAGATTGCGTCTTATATTCCTGATAAAAGAGACAATAAATTGCATAATTTATCATTCTTCTGTTTTCTCTCTTCCAACAAAAACATATTTTCAGTCTGCTGCTTTGGTCTCAACTAGGCCTGTTTTGACTATTTTGTTTACAAAGACTTCATGATTCAATTTCTTTGTTGTTTATTTTGCATATTTCAAACATCTTCCAGTTCCCTTGTCAAAATGTTCATCATGTCTGGTTGGTTCGCCATTATATATATATATATATATATATATAAATGCTTCAGGCAAGCTTAAGTGGTTTTGATACTTGAAACTGCAATTACAACTGAAGCTGTCACAAACTCACTACCGCACAGATTAAAAAAAGGGGGGGAAAGGGTTAAAGGAAAGCTTGGTGTGCCACTTTATTCCACTATAATCCTCCTCGAAGTAGAAAATTAGCTGAACAACTCTGCAGATCACTGCTAATGCAATGACACTCATCTGATTTTACTGCAAACTCCTCAGTCCCGGGTGACAGACGGCAGCTAACAAATCAGATAGAAACCCGGGACTGCTCAATATATTCCACTGTGTTTCTGGATGACAGAGAATGATAGATGTGATGCTTGAATGTCATCTGATAATGGATTCCACCGGGAAGCAAAGACTGGCACAAACGATCGGCTCTTCCTCAACAGTACCGGCGAGATAGTTAGAAAGCATATTAATCACATCTATCTAGACAGATAACAAAGAATTTAAATGATACTTTACATTGTTCAATAGTGGTGGAGAAAAAGAAATATTCATTCCATGGAGAACCACAATTCCTAGTCCTGGCATTTCTGAATCGACTCAAATGCTCAAAAGCTTTTTTTTCCTTTTTTTTAAAAATTACATTTTGTATAAATCTTTTAATTTTTTTGTTTGTTTCAGAAAAAGCTGGGCAGCAAAGCTAACTTAATGCTGATAATTTAAACTAGAAAATGTTACACACAAACCTATTTTTCCCTAAATATAAAGAAAAATAAGATTTTGAAATGGTATGGACCAGTGTAAAATTCCTTAAAAAAATAAATCTTATATGTATCTTTTTTTTTTACATTGTCTTCTCCTCTTGTCAGTCACATGATTTAATCTGAATCTCATCGGAAAAGAAAAAACTGGTTTCTGAGTTAAACGTTGTTTCTGAATCAAACTGCTAGACACTGAAAGATTCGTTCTGTTTTACAGCCGTTACTGAACAGAAAAACAGTAACAGTGTGCGCGACTCTCACCTTGCCACTGTCATGATACACAAAGATATTCCGGGTGCTGTAGTCTTTGAGGTAGGTGATCTGCAGGCCGTTGGGATTTCCGATCTTTTCTGGCTGGAACGTCGCATTGATAGTGTCCACCTTAATCACTGCTTTGGGCTCCTTAGCCTAAACAAATCAGGAGGGGGTTTATTAAAACTCTAAGTACGGTTTGCTGACTGTTGCTTTATTTAAATGTGACTAAGCGAGAGGCAGAAGGCAGTGAAAGTGGAGGTTAAGTCGAAGCGTACTTAGCTGGTTGCAAACGGCAGACGAAAGTCGCTACAAACTGACCATCATATAATTACTCAAATCCCTCTTGTCTCCCGCCATGGCGCCCAGCTGTGGCACCAGGACCAGACCCAGCTCAAGCTAAATATAGATCCGTCAACTATGGAGCTGAACTATTTGGTAACAAGCAAAAAAAGAAAACAAAAAAGTTTTAAAGCATCGTTGCTTTTTCTGACAAAACTTTGAGAACTTCCCAAACAAACTTGCGCGTCAATACCTGCATTTCCTTTACAAAGGTGCGCAAAAGCTTTTTTTGCTATTACGCTAATAAAAAAAAAAAAAAAAAATTTGCAGTATTGGTATTCAAATCAAACATAAACAAGTTTGTTCACATAAGTCATTTTTAAAAGAAATCCTCCTCCTGAGGAGACACTTCCTGTTCTTTGTCGTTTCCAGCAGTAGTAACATCCGGGGTTGTGACTCGTGTGATGTGGAAAAAAGTGTTTTCATTTCAGTTTTGCGAAATACGTCAATTTCAAATCCCATTTTGAAAACCAGTGAGATTTCCTTACTGATCTACTCGGTGACAAGATTCAATGCCATAAAAAAGGCTTTACAATTTTTATGTTTTTGTAAACAGCAAATTTCTGTGCAAACGCAGAAATTGGCCACATGGATGTCCTTAACAATTAAAATCATTTATGTGTGCAGAGCATCAAGGTTTTTCACTCTATGACAGTTGATTGATTATAGCCATCAATGCAATGACATCAGTTTGTCAAATATTCAGATTATAAAAGGCTTTTTGTGATAATGGACATCAGATAACTATTGTATATATCAAAGTCCTTACTGTTATGGAAACAATAGCTGGTTTTTTAGTTTTTGTGTCGTTTATATGCAGTATTTGTTCCCAGCTTCTGAGAATAATTATTTTGTATGGTGAACAGTTCAGACAGACTCCTCAGTAAACTTGTCTGAACTTGCACAAACACGACGGAGAAGGAAAATACCCATTTTGCTGTCTTTGCCGTCAGTTCAGTTCAGTTAGCCAGCTGAACTGAATATGGAAATATGAGAGACCAAACCCTAAATCCTACAGAAATCATTTGCAAGCGTACTTCAGTATCTGTAAAATCCTTTATATTTAGGGGTGTTTGTGTAGTGGGTGTTTGAATGTGCTTTAAGGTTTTCCTTCATTTTACCGAACTGGACTCTCATGTGCTGCTGCTTACGTCATATTTGGTGTAGTACTTCAGGCTGCCCTCTCTTTCAGAAAGGACGAATCGCCTGCTCAGGAACTGCCCGTTGTCCCGCCCCCTTTTCATCAACGTGCCCTCTCTCGTTTCTGGAGGGTGCAAGCAAGCGCGATCATTCAAGGGCGAGGGCTCTTTTGTTGTTGTTTGTTTGTTTGTTTTTTACAGTTCATGTGAGGGTTTGTGCGCGCTCACCTGTTTGGTACGTCAAGCTCTTCCCAGGTTTCAAGAACTCTTTCCTCTCGTACTTCGCTCTGATCCACTGCTCTCTCAGCACCCTGAGCAAACACGAACAACATGGAAAGACACTTAAGGACGCTAATTGATCGAACGGTAAATGGACTGAGGTTATGTAATGCTTTCCTTGTCATATTAACCTTGGAGGTCTTTTTGAGGTCAAGCTGACCTCTCAGCAAAACTCACAAACATGTGCGGATGTATGATAAGCTACACATGCAAAGATCACATCCATTTTGTGTAACGTTATTGAAGCTCAGATAGTTGGCATGTGGAGCTGTGGTTACTCACTGACAGTCCTTGTGGGTTGGTTTGTAGTAGTAGACAGGAACGTCCGCCTCATATTTTGCCTTCATTAGCTCATTTCCATTTTCAGCCATGAACTATCTCACACACACACGCACACACAACCCACATACAAAGAAAAGACACAAATTAAAGTACGAATGACGCAACAACACATGAATGAAGAGAACAATAACAGGACACAATAGGCAAAAACAAACTCTGGCGTTTTGGAATATATTCCATCTTAAAGTTCTACAAGCATAGAATACATCTTTTAAAATTTCCACATATATTTTCTTGGAAACTGATTTTAAAAGGGCGGTGTTATGCGTTTTCTGACCATATGTCGCCGTTTTATATCAGTTACCTTTAGTTTAAAATATGCTATATGTATCAAATATAACTTAAAAGAAAGTTGACGTGGTGGCGCAGTGGTTACGCACAACCCACATACGGAGGTCCTAGTCCTCGACGTGGCTATCATAGGTTCGATTCCCGGCCCTGTGACCTTTGCCTCTTCTCTCATAACCCTCTATCCTGCCAATTCACTGTCAAATGAAGCTCACTAGAGCCAAAAAAAGAAAGTTGACTTTGATGTTTAACATCTTGAAATTAAACCTCTGTCTCTTTAAAATCTCCTGTACTTCATCTTGAAGGCGGGGCTAGGTCTATCCAGCTTTCGGTTGCCATGGGAGACTAAAGAGTTGGTCAAACACGCATGTAAAAATGAAGGCAATACTTCAAATATGTTTTTGATGAGGGAATAATATTATAATATGATGTAAAGCTTTAAAAAAAAATCATTTTACAATAATACCGCCAAAGTTAACATATTTCTGAAGTCCTGGTTCAATCTGAAAATAATTACTGTCCTGTGGGTTTTGTTGGTCCTTTAAAGTTTTTATGTATTATTTACCATAACTATTTTTTGTTTGAGAGTGCATAAAAGTAGGATTTAATTCATCTTTTTCACTTCATTTACTTTAGTGTGTTATTGCATCTTCGTACAACAGATAAAAGTACAACTACTGTTGCTTTTTTTTGTTGCTGTTGTAAATCTTTAAAATGGCTCCCCACACAGAAAACCACAAGCCTTTATACAATAAACAACAAGAAAACCTCGACTGAGCTGGGAAATTTGGAGAATTGACAAATTAGGCCCAAAGTGCAGTTTTGTGAACATATTTATCCTGGAAGCAGTTATGAACAGAACATTGTAGCATTTACTGGAAACAAACAAACAAACAAAAAAAAAAAAAAATTGGAGCAGCAGAGGGAATATTTTGTTGGGCCAGTCAAAAATAAATGCCACATTATGAAATTCAAAAACTACAGTTTGTCCTCTTTTTTTTTTTTAGCATAAATAGATACATGTTTTATTCTTCCTCTATAAATTTACCTCCTCATTTACTTTCTCACATACTTTTTCTCCTTTAAAAAAAAAATTAAATACACAATGTAACAGATGACATCGTGGGAGTTGCTGGCTTTGACCTCTCACCTGAACCTCCTGGTCCTCCCAGTGGGACAACCTCAGGGACTTGACTTTGCAGATTTCGGGGATGTTGCGATGGATTCCAGAGCAGTCCAGACAGATGAACACACCAAGGGAGCAGGAGCCCCAACCCGGATCTGCCGCAGGTTGGAAAGTCAAAAAAAAGAAAAGCTCAAAATTGAAAGACCAGAATAGAGCCCCTGTGCCGTGCGTACAAAATCCTGGATATTAATATCTAAAGCTTGAGTGTAAGATGCTAGTGTTACCATCGCTAAATGACATGGGAACGAGATACGGTACGTCTGAAAAGTACTCAATGTTTTTTCACATTTTTTTGTAATGTTATAGCCTCACTTCAAATTCTGTTAATCCATTTCCTCAAAATTCTACACACTAATAACCCATGACAACGTAAAAAAAATTATAAAATCTAGAGCAGTTTGCAAACTGGTAAAAGAGAAAACCAAAATAATCATTCTTCTTTGCAGTACTTCTCATCAGGTTGAACGGCAGACGCCTCTCAGACATGCTCATTCAATCGGACTTAAAGCTGCAGTATGTAACTTTTACAAATTCTTAAACATACATATTAAAACTGTCACTATGTTGTGACAATTTGGTATGAAACTAATAAACTGTGAACAAAATTGAGCTCCTTTGCCTCCTCCCAGTGCTAACTTGAAACAACCAATCAGAGCCAGGAGGGGGGTCTTAGCACTGCCAATCAATTTACGTACATGCTACTCACTACCTTCTTGTCAATGAAATTGCAAAACACTCAAAAACTTTTTCCTTTCCCTCACATTGTCATAATGGAGTATTTGTGTGTAGAATTAGACTAACACTGTTGGGAATGAGGTTGGAACATAAAATGTGGGAAACATTTTAAATACTTTCCAGATTAACAACAGTACTTCCAGTCCTATTGTTTATGTGTATTTTTCCAGATAATCAGTGTTTGATGTTTTAGATATGTTTGATGTCGCGATGTAGCAAATTTAACGTGCAAACGAACTTAATTCATATTGAGTTCATGAAGGATCACATGAACTCAATATGAATTAATTAACTTGGAAATGGGAAAAAAAATCTATTTCGGTAGGGTAATTTTACAAAGCACATTTTCAGCAACAAGGCATTTCAAAGTTCTTTCCATAAATTAGAGTAAATACAAACAACACAACAAAATAAATAACAACAAGAGTAATTCACAATTTATAAGCTAATAGATGCTTCTCTGGGTCTTTTTGTTCTAACTTATAGGTTTCATTCCTAATCTTGGCTGCTGGACAACAAGAATAAAATAAGTACTCCACAATTTCTAAAAGTTGTTATTGGAACATAAATCCTGATCACCCATGTTATCGTTTTAAAAGCATTTTGGATTGACGTCCCCGGCCAGACAGCAAATCAAAGTCGTTGCTAGGTGAGGATAAAATACTTAAACTCAATCAACCCTTTAACTCTAATCATAAGGCTCACACTGAACAATGCCACACAAAACAGGAAACCTTCCAGGTTCATTTGTCTTTTCTGTTCCTCTAAGCTAAAAGATTTAGAGAGTTATCGTTTCATCGCTTTGTCTTCCTCCCCAAAAAAACCCCCCATCTTGACAGCTTGCCAGTAAACTCTTGTGTGTGAACGACCGCCTGGATCTTATCCGGAGAAACTATTGATGTCTGAGTGGGAATAACGTTCTTTGAAGTTTCCATGTGAGTCACCAGCAGATTGGAGTTTGGATGTGGCCGGCTGGTCAACACCGACCCGATCAAAGCTTCTAAATGCTCCCAAAAAGGACACAGAGTGACCATCTTCAGATACTCAAGGACAAACAAGAAGGAAGGGCGCGAGCTGGAGCTCAACCGGAACGCCGTTCAGATACGTCAGGCCAGCCAACACCTTTACTCTTCCTTAAGATTCCTCAAAGGCAGACTCTGAAATGAAATGGCAATCTGGCAGAGATGTAAATCCTCACCGCGGCTCGGCTTTACTAACTTTTTTGCTTTGCTTGTTGTTCTCGTTGTTGAGAAGATAGTATAGAACTAAAAACAACAGAACATGACTGTTGAGCTCGTTTTAATTTAGTCTTTGTAGCCAGAAGAGAAGTGCACACCTTTAAGGTCAACAGCATATGGATCGATAAAACATCAACTATTTCATTTCATTATTCCAATTCAAAAAGCACAACTCGTTTCTCCACGTTTTCAACCAACAATGACTCAAAAGGAATATTTATCCATTTGATGTTTATCTTTGTTTACAACACTCTGGCGCTACACAACGAGAGTGAGACGTTTTTATATTGCATGTTTACAGTATCTCTATGTTGGCACCTTAAAATATTGGCTGTGTTTGACAGAACAGTATGTGTTCATATGTGTGATATTGGTTATTTTAGATCTCCTTCTTAGAGCTGTTTCTAAGCTTGAGGGCTAAAAATGTCTGCGTACGCCTAAACCATGACAATCAGGATCTAGAAGAAACTGATGTTTACTGATTTCACCCAACGACGGCTCAAAGATCCAGTTTATCGAGAAAAAAAGACAAAAAAAAAACAAGAATTTTAAAATACAGAAACATCATATTTTACTGTCATCCAGTGGACGATTACTGCTTTGCAAAACAAACTGGCCAATCACCCGACAGAGCATCCAAACAAATTTATGGAAAGTTGAGTGGAAGGAAAATGCTTTGTAAAATAACGGAATGACTGCAGAAGGATGCTGTCTAACACATTAGCAGGATGAGCATGCCTCGATGCTACGATGCACCAATTCATGCAAAAGGAGCCCCAACCAAGTGCATTTATTACAGTAAGGTTCTTTTTTGCTGAATTAGGAATATTTTTACTGATCATATGCCATAATATTTCCCTGTCTTTCATGGATCTATAACTTACTTCAAATTAGGCCTGTGTCGATCGCATGATAAATTAAAACTACCCAATTATCGGGTTTATTGTTTTCTCTTTCTGTTGATGACACTGAATGAAAAAAGGCTCAACTCCGGTGTCTCCACTGACCCTCCCTTCCTGTAATGCCCAGCGCGCACTGCACCATCTTGGAGCTGCTGGCAGATTGTCGGCCCTCTTTCAAAACCTGAGACCACACATTAGCTGACAGAAATCCTAGGTATAACGCATTGATTGGGTTCGATCATGCCGTGTGGTGCCCACAATGGACACAAAATAACGGCTACAAATAGAGTAAACTAATTTTAAAAACAGGCATTAATCAATGCTTTATGACAATCTACTTGCAATGCATGTAGCTAGTGTTAGTCCTGACTGAATGAAAATCATTATATCCTATTTATGTCACGTTAACAAAGAACAGCTGAAAACTCCTCCCCTTGTCATTTCTATATTCTTTGCACGAAATGTTGAATAAACATTAATGTTCTTTCCACATTTCATCTCCAATGTCCGCTGGAGTTCGGGTTGCGCCGTGTCAGCTGTTTGGGATTCCTCTGTAATTTACCATCAGAAAGTAGGGAGGGGAATCTACGCTTTGTGATTGGCTACCTGTTACAGGCTGAGTTTTCGCTCCCAGCCTGAGAAAACCCTTGATTTAGATCGGAGGGGCCAAGACGATCCACCGTAACACACCACACACTGCAGGATGATCGGTTATGAAATGGCAAGCGACAATCTTAGAACGCCCAAAGTTCTAAGATTGTCGTTAAGGGGAAAATCAGGGCAAAAAATTGTGTATCATGAAATATTGGATGAGGTCGTCCGTTGAGCCCATCTTCTCTATTTAAATCTAATGATTACTGAAGGGCAAAATAGTATACAGATTTCATAATCTGCACTTTTGGTTTGATGCAGTACCAAAGTGATTTTTGTATTCAATTCACCAAAATGACCCTGAAAATCACAGACAATATTTTCAGCCTGTTGACCAGTTTGATTTGTGAATTTGTCTTTCTCCAGTGGATTTTAACATTAAATGTTGAGATTTTCTTTACTGTACGGGAGAAAAAATAAATAAATAAAAGGCAGATTGTAGTTTTTTTGGACTTGGCTGAAAGAAAAGGGTGTGTTCTGTGCAAGTCCTACACTGCCCTACACTCGAGCATGTGAAGTCTTGTTCAACTCTCTTGGATTTTTTTTTCTGGATGCTCCACGTTGCGCACACCAAGCAGAACGATCGAGGCCACCGCAGCTTCGCCTGTGGTCTAGTTAAAGCCCCGTCTCCCCAATTCCCAGCATTCTTTGTCACATATTTTCAGGTAAGACAACAAGATTTCAAACCAAACTTGTGGCAGTTGTGAACCTTCCTATGCGTCCTCATCAAACACTCAACTGGAATAGGATTTTCTTCAACCTACCCAGCGCGCCGCAGTCCGCGCAGACGTCATTTCCCGGCTTTTGCAGGATTTCTTTAAGAGCTCGGATTGCCCTTTCGTTTGTCGACATTTCGGCGTTCAGATCCCTTACCCGCCGGCTTGCAAAGAGAGAGAGAGAGAAAGAGTGCAGCAGAGCAAAAAGAAAGGAAGGAACAAAGAGAGATCGATAGAGAGAGAGAGAGAGAGAGAGAGAGAGAGAGGTCTGCCTACTGGCCCTCCCTCCTTCAGGTGCGGACAAGTCTGCGCAGGTAGGCCCGGCGTGCGGGCCTCCAGGTGAAGGGAAGGCAAAACAAAGCTTCTCCGTCCGGTCACACGGCGAAAACACGGAACATAATCCAAACTTTCTCAAATCCTAACAGTCGCGCACCTCTCCTGTACCCAGTGAACCCAGTCCGCGGTGAGAGCGGCGGACAAGTTGCGCTTCTGCCTCCGGTCGGACTGCGCGTGTTGAGCGGAGAGTCAGGCGCCGCAGTAGGAAGTGAAGGTCGTATCAACACACTGCTGTTCCGCATATTTTGCGGTTAGAGCGCACATAACTCCCGCTGCGTGGAATCTATGCAAATGCCCTGCTCTCAAACTCTCGAGCTTGCGTATTGATGGAAAAAGAGAGGGAGAGAAAGAGAGAAAGAGAGAGATTTTAGAGAATAAATCATTTCTGCGCATTAGTCAGTAAAAGCAGCTGTTAAATAAGTCAGTTCAGTTGCTGAACGTGAGAAAATGATATAATTTTAAAATTTTTGGTGCTAATTTAAAAATATTTGTAAGGAATTTTTATGATGTTTGCGCCAATTGTGCGATGCTAAATGTAACTTTTTATCATTCACCAGATCGGTCATGGACTTTAGCAGTGACGCTGAGGCAACAGTCTCTTTATCCCAAAATTTTTGGCTAATTTTAAGAAAAAAATTGCAGTTAAAAAAAAATCAGAAAAAAAATGAGCGGACCTGTTGATTTTGTATGACTTTTGCAGATTTGTGAAAAACTGGAGGGACTGACTGATGTGATTAGGAGTCGAGAGGGCCGCATGAAAAGCTACGACGGGTCAAACTTGGCCCCCGGGCCTTCAGTTTGACATGCTCGTTTTATACCATTTAAAATTAAAACCTCCAGCTGTAGTGTGTGCAACTGTATAAACAGTCAGTCTTTTGATCATCCGTAATGCTGCAAACATAATCTTGTATTATAAGCTACTGAAAGTGAGAGCTGAGCAGCAAAAGAGAAAAAAAAATGGAGCCAGCTCTCACTTCATCGGAGTCTGTTTTTTTAGCATGAGCCATCACTAAACATTTAACCGTGTTTCTCATCTGTGTTCCCATCCCTCTGCAGCCTTTAGCATTTTGGCTAAAGGCTGCAGTGTCTGGAATGTCTCACAACAGCAATGAATTTGCTGTTGTGAGACGCCATCCAATAGGCAAAAAATTACACTGGCATGTAAAAATGTTAAGTTCAGAACACTGAATATGTTGTGCACCCCTAATATATTCATAAAGGCCTTGAGAGATAGACATATTCCTAGCTATATGACCATCTATCTCATGGAGGGTCAACCTTTTGGTGCAAACCAGCCCTGAACGGATGACGTCTAGATGCAGATTGACCTCTGAAGTTGTGTTGTGGTATCTGGAAACAAGATGTTAGCAGCAGATGCTGGAAGTCTTGGAAGTTACAAGGTGGCCCCTCTGTCATTTGGACTTGTTCGTCACCTTCAGAAAATGCTCAGATGGACTGAAACCTGGACAATAACACCTTGTACTTGTGCTGTTCGAACCTTTGGCATGTGTCAATCTTGCTCAAATGCTATGCTATTCCACCTTCTGACATATGAGCTCTGCAGCCGGGCATTCTCCGCCCAACTAACCGCGGCGGTCAGTAGACATAACGTTACGTCTAGTAACGCTCATATTGGATAAATTAGAATGAGTCTGGTTTGTCAGATTAAAAGTAGCTTTTGACAATGACAATCTTTCAGTAGGTGTTTTTTTTAATATTTTAAATTGGTCTGATGTGATATTTTAATTTTAAATGTCATATTTCCACTAACTGTTGGAAAATCATCATTACTGAGAGAAATAAAGGCGTTAACACATCAGTCTATGTGTGATTAATTCGTACAATGGTGATAGAGTTAGTGAAACAAATGCCTTTTCAATAACATTTCAATTTCTCTAATGGGTGTGTATATTAATTTCCAAAAATACATAATAAAAAGAAAAGTGCTTTAGTTAAAGTACCAATTAATCACAACTTAAGATTGGAAAGGGCTAAAAAAAAAACAACAACGAAAAAAGCAGATCTTCTCTTCAGTATTTGTAACGGTTCCCATAGAAATTATGCAAAATGTTTTGAAGTCATGTGTTCAAACTGCAGATTCCTGATGACACACAGCAGGAGGTATATTTTTGTAAAATAATAATATCCTTGTTGTTTTCCCACAAAAGCAGAAGCCCTGCTTTGGTGCTCTGTACTGTTTCATTACTCATGTCTCCCATAATTTATAAAACCTGATTAATAAAACCACACATTGTTCCAGTCTAAATCTATGTGTATGAGTTTGAATCAAAACAAGGAAATTGTTTGATTTTGTTCCAAATCAACCAACCCTGTACAATTATCTTCATATTAACATTAATGGAGAAAAATGTCACTTTTCTTTTTAAAACAAAGTTCAATCATTCAATCACCTATTGATCATGTTAGTATAATGTATTAAAATTCCATTTTAAAAGATTGATTTAATGCAGAGGGTTGCTAAAATAATATAGACAGGTAAACAACATAAACAAAAAAGGAATAGAAATGCAAAAAGGGATTGAAAGTGAAAAGCAAGTGCATAAAATATCTGCATGAGAATAAATTAAAGCAGAGATTTTTTACCAGTTAACCCAATGCCTTCTAGCAAAACCTCAGACTGCCATATGTGGCCAGTAGGTGGCAGCAGTTCAACAATGTTCCTGCTCCTACATGCACTCTAGGATTTTGTCCATGGCTGCAGCAGCTTTGCTCTTTCAGCTCTCTGGGTAGAAAACCCCCAAAAAACGTCAAGTCGAGTATGAAGGACGTTTCACTGTATCGGTGACCGTAACGCTGGTGTTCCCACAAGAAAGAGGCTGATATGTTCCCAAGAAGCAAAATGACTTTGCCTTTGAGGAACGATTCCTCAGCTGATCATTCACTACTCCAGTTGGGTTACTTAAGTGAGACAGATAGGGCAATTCGGCTGTCAGTGAGGGTTTGATGTCATTGTGCAATACATTTTTTATCCCCCATCTGACGGCAAAAGGCTGATGCCCCGTCACTGAGCTCATTTGTTAGAACCAACATGGCAGGCTGCGATCCGTTTGCTTTCAGAGCAGAACCTGAATCTTCAGGTTTTCATGGGAGTTTTGCAGCTGGAAGCTTGGCATGTTTGTACACTTAACATGTGACATATGTGAATGTAATAGCTTGACTGTTTTGCTTGTTTGCTTGCTTTTCAAATACAAAAAGGCATCACTTTGTTAGTTTGAGCAAAAAGCCTGCTCTTATTCCGCATGGGTCGTGTTCTCCACCGTGGCTCTGCTCACAAAAAGTCTTGATTAAATTACAAATTCTGAGCAAAACTGAGCAAATTCTGCTGGAGTAAAAAGCACGGAAATGATCCGTCCTTGAATGTAAACCTTTTTTATGTCCAGTGGAATAAGGGCATGTTTTTAGGGCTGGAACAAAAGGTGAGTGTAGTGATCAATTATTCAGTCAGTTATTCTGAGGATTAATCAGATGCAACATAGAGAAAAAAAATCTGCAAAATCATCATTTGACTTCTAAGCTTACTTTTTATTGGAAGTGCTGTAAAAGATGCAAGTAGGCACATTACATTCTTTAAATAACATTCCTTTAGCTAATAATAATTGGATGACATTGGAGATTTACTTATTTTTGCAGAATTTGAAACTTTGCCACTCGAGGAGTTTTGGAAAGGAAATATTAACAAAGTTTTCTTTTCTGTAATGTTAAATGCTAAACGTTGGCTACATATTTTTCACGGCTTTGGCTCATTTCATGTTCTGAGTGTGTTGTTCTTTCAGCAAATGGCCTTTTGTTTTGAGTTTGTGTCCTCCAATTGACAGTTAATTTGTCACTAAATTAGATGATGGATATTTCAATGATTGATTCATAATGATTAATCTGATTAATCATTCTGGCCCTGCATGTTTTAGAACAACAGTGATAAGAAAGGTTTCTCAGGGATAAGTTATGGCTCAGGAGATAACTTGTTTACATCTTTGTGGTGGTTTCCCTTCGTCCAAATTATGTGGTTGGTGCAAATAACATTTATTCTTATTGGATGATATTCAATTGTTTCCATTGTGCGCTGTGCTAAATCTGCTTATCTGTTCAATTCTAATCTACCTCCATCAGCCAAAGACATCCAGTTTATCCTCTCTTTTTATTTCCTCTGTTAGTTTGATCTGCAGATTAGAATAAAATATGGGCCCCAAAATCCCTTTCTGAGGTTCATGGGAGACTCAGAAAATGCTTAATGTTAAATCCTTAATTAGTTTAATAATATTTCAAATCTTCAGAGCCCAAAGGCTTACATTTTTCCTTTTGGGTCGTAATTGTTCTTTTCTGGTCATTAGTTAGTTTGTGTTTTCTCCATCTCAGTTAATGACTGTTACCAAAATCCCAGTGTCATAATATTCAATTTAAACATTTCACTTTGCTGTTTATTAGTTTGTGTTGAATTAGGTTTCTGTTAGTCCTGAATTAGTCGTTCTCATAATCATTTGGGGGCTGGATTTATTTTTTTAAACTCAGTCAAGTTGTCTGCTTTCTTGACGCTAGCTGTGTTTCCATTGCAAATGTGCACAAAACATTTGTCGGTATTCCTCTAACGTTGAAAAAACACAATTTTGTTATTCCATAAATTAAGAAACGCAATTATAATCACACGTGAATAACTTTGCTCACTGGATAAGTCATTGAAAGACATGTCACACAATCATCCTCCTGCCACTTCCTGAACACTTCAATGTCTCCACCAGTAGAAACATCTGGTTGTTGATCACGTGACTCCTGTGATGCAAAATAAGAGTTTCCATTGCAGGCTTGTGAAAATCACTGAAAAAAATGTTAAAAACCCACCTCATCCAAGCGCAAAAACTTTTCATCAAAAAACAAGATTTTTTTCTTTTTGTTTGTTTCCATTAAGGGAATTCCTATTTTATGGTAAACGGAAACACCACTGCTGGAGTCTGCCACTCAGTAACTGGGCTAAATTGCGTCTCACTTAATATTTAATCAAAGAAAGACGACTTTAGGCAGATATGCTCAATTATTCTGATCTTAGATGATCAAACAGCACA